ACTGCAGAGTTGGGTGTGTGGGATCCAGCGCCTAACCATCATGCCACCTGTTGTCGCTGAAGCTTTTGATTTTGTTTCATTTTAGTTTGATAATGCCTAAGAAAGCACAGCACCTTCTAAATGGTCTGATTTCTGACTTTATCTACTACTACTACTCTATTTCTGTTAACCTGTGGCTCTTAGTGGCCACTAACCCTAAAGGGCATTGGGCTTGTCACACAGAGAGGTGACTGCATGTGCTCCTGGCGGGCTGGCATGTCCCAAGGATAAAACGTCATGTACCCATTGCCCTCATTTTGGATTGGTTTGTGAGTTACACAATAATGTGTAACAGATATTTTCTTAAAATAAGACTGAGTTCTTATTTACGGAATTGAGACTTTTGGACTCACATCACTAAAGCAGTGTAGTGCAGTGTCATTAATTTGCTTCTGAGGGTTAGTTTAAAAAGAGCGAAGGTGAGCCTAACACTGTGAGCGATGCGTCTGTGGCTGGCCGAGGCCAAGGCTTCCCAGGGCGGCGTGGGTGTCGTGCTGCAGTTCAGTGGTCCCCTGTGAAGACCTGGGCGGCAATAACTTGGCACTTCCAGACTTGACTGAGCTGTTTCCATTATTACTGGTTTCTTCAACATTGAGACAGTGAGTGTTCATGCCGGAAATAGATTTCTATCTGCAGTCTTTAAACAAGTGTAAACGCCAGATCATGATTTTCCCGTTAACAAGTGGGGTAGACACCCATGAATGCGTTTTCAGGAAGGCTGCCTTCTGACACGTGTCGGGGGCAAGGCAGTGTTGTGCCATGAAAAGCAACACCGGCAAATCTGTGTGCTGTCGTAGATTTGTTCAGTGGGAAGTCTGATTCAGTTCGAGCTGGGTAAGAAAGCCTGGAAATGTTTCCCATCGTTTTGTGGAACACACTTATACGGATACGTATTTTCTCCACTGGTGTAATTTAAGCCCAGATATAGACACGAGCCCCGGGGCGCGCTTTCTCTGATAAATCCAGCAATGACAGTTGACGTCCAACGAGGTAACGTGATCTGCCAAAATGAATGAATTTAATTTTGAGACCTAATTATTTTGTACTGGTAGTGTGGGTCGTATGGTTCTGTGGGGGCTGTAAGCACATTAGGTTTATGCCTCTTCATAAAATCATTTAGGTCAGAATGGGAAGATCTCTGACTTTCCATTTATATCAAATCAGTTAATTGCTCAAGTTTAGACTTGCTCATTTTTACAAGTGCTTTGTTTTTGTTTGTTTGTTTGTTTTAATCCCGTATCTTTGTAAGCTTTTTATGTTTCCTAATTCTCAAAAGGTATTGTCGGCAAACCTGTGGGTTTTTTTGTTTTGAGAGATTTTTGCTGGAGAGACAACGAGAGAGACAGAGAGAGAGAAAGTGAGAAATCACCCTCCAGGGAGAATGGCCATACTGCAGTGTTTTCCTCTCTATCCTCCCCCTTGGGATTTGGGTTACACACACACACACACACACACACACACACACACACACACACGCCCAGCAGGATTTTCAAGCCGCTGGGTCCGGGACTCAAAATGCTGCGGGCCAAGTGTGAGTCCAGCACTTTAACCACTGTAGCGCCTGCCGGTCCTCCCTTGTTTTCTAACACTTTTGCCATAGGGCATGTGTCTCTCTCTCACTGGAGAGAGACAGAAAGAGATAGAGACACAGGGAATGTGAAAAATCACCCCCCAGGGGGAATGACCATGCTGTAATTCCATTTCCTCCAGTCTCTCGGGATTTGGGGCACGCACGCACATGCACTGTTGTGACTTTCAAGCCATCAGGTCTGGGACTCAAACCATGGGCAGCCATGTGGGAGTCCAGGCCCTTAACTGCTATGCCACCTGCTGGCCCCAACAATCCTGCGTTGTTTTATCCTTTTGGTTTATTCCATGACCAAGAAAATAAACAGGAAAAGTAGTTCAGCACTGCTCCTGCTGCTGGACTTGGGACTTCTGGATGTGTATTAGGGCTGTAGGGGCATGTACAACCACAGCCCTTCTCATCATGGGAGCGTATTTGATTTAGGAAATAAAAGTTAATTGTGCAAATCTTATGTTCAAAACTGAGTTTTTAAAAACTGATGACAATTGCTTAAAGTTGAGAATTTAGAAATTATTTATTTATTGGAAAAATAATTATTGATTTAATTTTATTCATCATTATTATTTTAATTTAATCAGAGAGAGAGACACACAGAGAGAGAGAAAGAGAGAGAGAGAGAGAGAGAAAATGAAAAAGCAAGTCCCCGGGCCCAGGACTTTAACCACAGTTGGCCATGTGGGAGTCCAGCACCTCAACTACCACGCCACCTGCAACCCCAACAATTTAGAAATTATTCAGATTGAGGGGCCAAAATACTACTAGCTGGCCCCCAAATAACTTAATTTTAAAGCTCTTACTGAAGCTTGGGAACCAGCAGTTAGCGTAATGGCTATGTCACTGAACTCCCATGTAGTCGACCGCGATTCGAGTCCCAGACCCAGTGACTTAAACTCACATTGGGTGCGTGTGCGTGCGTGCCCAAGATCCCAAGAGGAGAATGGAGGAGAAGGGATTGGCGGTGTGTCATCCCCCCTGGGGAGTGTTTTCTCACTTTCTGTCTCTGTCTCTGTCTTTCTGGCGAGCGCACACGCCCTATAGCAAAAACCTCTCCAAAAAAAAAAAGCTCTTACTGAAGCTTTTTCCTAAACGGGGTTAAAAAGTACTGGATTCTGTATATAGACTGTAAAATATTCCTAATGGATATATTTGTATGGACTAATTTTAGCAGTTTGTTGAAAATGAAATTGCCTTTGCTATGATTTTTTTGAAATAATGTTCGAATAGGATTAATGTTAACATAAAAGAGAAAAATTAAGAAAGACCATGTATGTTAGGTTCACTCCGTGGTATAGCAGTAATGTACTACTCAAGAGAAGCCAGATCCTACATAGTGACCAAAGTTCAACTCCCTGGCCTGGTCAGCCTGAAACATGCTAGGCCCACACGCGAGTGCCCAAGATTGGACAAGCTGGGTGACCAGAGGGGATGGTGGCACGACCAGACCCCGTGGAGAGTGCTCCTCTCTCTTTCTCACTCACCTGTATGTGTGTGTACAGGCTCGATCAAGAATAAAGAAAAAGGGGCCAGCAGGAGACTTAGGGTTAAGGCACTAGATTGCCACATGGCCAACCACAGTTCAAGTCCTGGACCTGGCAGCTTGCTTTCTCTTTCTCTCTTACTCTTGTTCTCTCTCTGGTGAGTGCACGTGCCCAATAGCAAATTTTAAAAATAATAATAAAATTAAATAATTTTTTTTGTTAGAGAAATATTTGCTATAGGGCACATGTCCTTGCCAGAGAGACAGACAGAAAGTGAGAAATCACCCCGCATGGGGAGTGGCCACACTGCATTACCTTCTCCTCCATTGTCCTCTCATGCACATCCACTGGGCGTGAGTTTTAAGCCACTGGTTCCAGGACTCAAACTGCCATCGACTACATAGGAGTCCTGCAGTGTAACCATTACAATGTAACCAGCCATCTGCTGGTCCCAAATAAATAATTTTTTAAAAAAAGAATAAAGAGGGAACCAGCAGTTAGCGTAATGGCTATGTCGCTGGACTCCCACATAGTCGACTGCGGTTTGCGTCCTGGACCCGGTGGCTTAAAACTCACACGGGTCGTGTGTGCACGTGTGCCCAAGATCCTGAGAGGAGAATGGAGGAGAAGGGATTGTGGTGTGACCATCCCCTCTGGGGGGTGATTTCTCGCTTTCTGTCTCTATGTCTCTCTCTCTGTCTGGCGAGTGCATGTGCCCTATAGCGAAAACCTCTCAAAAATAATAAATAAATAAATAAAATAAAATAAAAAGAATAAAGAAAAATCTTAAAAGACAACCAAAAGATCATGTTTGTTAAAATTTAAATTTTTTTGAGTCATTTTGTCATTTCCAAATATGTAGATTGTATGTATTTAAATGTAATGGTATATACACCAACATTTCAAAGTCTTATTTTTCTCAAATAATTATGTTTGTCATACATGATCTTAGATGTGGGATCTGTTTCCATTTTCTTACCATTTTGTAAAAGTTCGATGTGGCGTATTCTTATCTTTTGTAGATGATTCAATACTTGTAGTTTGAAAAATTTTATGACTCCTTTTTAGTACATGAAATTCTCTAGGATAATGAGTCATGAATAATTACTCTGATCATTTACAATCTGTTCTTAATTTTCAGTCATTCATGAAACCTTTTATTTCTCAAAGAATTTGTCATATTTTTGGAAATGGTTTCTTTTGTTTTGTTTTGTTTTGAGAGGTTTTTTCGCTATAGGGCACATGTGCTCGCCCGACAGAGAGAGACATAGAGACAGAAAGCGAGAAATCACCCCCAGGAGGGATGGTCACGCCGCAATCCCTTCTCCTCTCGGGATTTTGGGCATGCATGCACACGCGCCTGGCGTGAGTTTTAAGCCACCGGGTCTGGGACTTGAACCGCAGTTGACTACGTGGGAGTCCAGCGACATAGCCATTGCACTAACTGCTGGTCCCAATATTTTTGGAAATGGTTTCTATGGATAAGCAGCTGAGACCACTTTCTCACTTTGATTTTGCTGTGGGTACCTGTATGTGTATATAATTCCTTGAAGACCACTTCCTTAAGAAAAAAAATCTATTAGAGCATGTTTTCTTTTTTTTGTAATTGCCGAAGGGCACCTGCACTCACCAGAAAAAGACAAAGACAAGAGGGCACTGTCACGCCACAGTCCCGTCTCCGTTTCTCCATCCTGTCGGGATTTGAAACACGCACAAACACATCTGACATGTTTTTCAAGCCACTGAGACTTGTACTGCAGTTGGCCGAGTGGGATCCAGGTTCTTAGCCAGTAGGGTACGGAGCTAGTCTTAAAGCACGTTTTCTCTGTCTTAAGTACATCATGGCACTGATGGGGACATGTGTGTGTGACCAGAGAGGTTTTACTGTTTTTCAGCGATGGGGAGCAGACTGCACCGATGGAGGACGCCACCGCGGTGGACGAGTCCCAGGGCACCCTGGAAGAGGAGTCTCCAGCCAAGTAGGGTGTTCTCTTCGTTCTCACGTTTGGGTTGTGGGATTTCACATCACGATTTTTAAGATGGCTTCACAGAATAGAAAGCCCAGCTCTTTGTGACATCCCCGAGGGCTGACCTTACTCTAGTAATGTCTAGTGATCAGACTAGTAATTAGTTCAAATAATCTAATGGAAGGTTATAATGATGATTAGCGGGTTAAAGAGCGTTCCGTCCTCTGCCCACAGCCCGTTTTCCGTCAGCAGCTTGTTACTGTTCAGCTCCTGCATTGTGACGCAACTCACCCTCTTGGGACGCCAGTCTTTTGTCCCCTTTATCCACCCCTCCCAGCCCATCCTGCTTTTCTTCCTCCCCTGGTCTTGGTGTAGCCTAGATCCCAGGCTCTCCGCTGGCACCCTGGCTAGGTTTACACACCCTCGCCCTGGAACTCCCTGCCTCTGGACTTGAACCTCCTCTGCGGGACTTCCATCTACCTGTCTCTGCCACACCCAGTCTGAGTGCTGCCGTCACCTGGTGGGCCCAATTGGAGCCCTTAGAAATTTTTTTTTAATTGCCAGAGGGCTCATGCACTCCACCAGGGAGAAAGGGGGTGGGAGGAAGCATCCCCCAGTAGGGCGGTGTGGTCATGCCACAGGCCTTCTCCTTCTCTTGTGGGGATTTGGAGCACACATGTACACATGCCCAGCGTATTTCAAGCCACTGGGGCTAGGACTTGAACTGCACGGTTGGCCATATGGGATCTGGTGCCCTAGAAATTCTTGGTCACCTGTATTCAGAACCTATCTTCTACAATGACTATATAATCTTTGTCTCTCTTTTTTTTTTTTCAAGAATTATTTTAATTTTGTTTTATTTATTCATTCTTTTTTTTTTTTTTTAATTTGACCAGAGAGAGAGACACATGCAGAGAAAGAGGGAAAGTGAGAAAGCAAGCCACCAGGTCTGGGACTTGAACCACGGTCAGCCATGTGTGAGTATCCAGCGCCTTAACCACCACACCACCTGATCCCATCTTTCTGTCTCTTAAGAACCTTAATGGGACCAGCAGTTGGTGTAATGGCTATGTCGCTGGACTCTCATGTAGTTGACTGTGGTTCGAGTCCTGGACCCAGTGGCTTAAACTCACGCCAGGCGTGTGTGCCCAAAATCCCAAGAGGAGAGTAGAGGAGAAGGGATTGCGGCGTGGCCATCCCCCCTGGGGGGGGGGTGATTTCTCGCTTTCTGTCTCTGTCTCTCTCTTTCTGGCGAGCGCATGCGCCCTATAGCAAAAACCTCTCCAAAAAAAAAAAAAAAGAACTTAGACATTGCCCCTAACTTTACCATTCCACCATCACTCCCATGTCCACGCCTTCTCTTTTTCATTTTCCGGATACAAGTTTGCCTCTTAGGGCACCAAGAAATCAGGAATAATCAGGTGAGGACTTCATCATCTTCCCTGGGATGCACGTCCGGCTCCACCCACACCCTCCCAGCCTCCTTCCCGCTCTCACCTGGTAAAGTAGAGGCTCGTCTCTGATCCACAGTCCCTTCTTCATTCTTCGCTTGGGATTTTGGGCATGCACGCACATGTACCAGGTGTGATTTTCAAGCCTCGAACCATGATCGACCCTGTGGGAGTCCAACGCCTTAACCACTATGCTGCTTGCTGACCCCTACGTTGTTTATGTTTTCAGAATTAGACTTACATCTGAGAAATACGTTGGATGATAGTGATCTCTCTGGTCTCTACTTTGTCTGAATATTGATTTAACACTCCCGCTTTTAGCATGTAGCCAAACCGTACATTCAGGGCACCTCTCGGATTTACAACTTTTCTTTTTTTTTTAATTACCAGAGGGCATGTGCACTCATCCAAGAGACGAAGCCCTCTTTGGTGGGATAGGGTCATGCCACAATCTCCTTTCCTTTATTTCTCAGTCCTATCAGGGTGTGGGGCACACATTTGCGAGTGCCTATGTGGGTTTTGGTTTTTGTGGGGTTTTTTGTTTTTGTTTTTGTTTTTGGTTTTTTTTTTTGAGAGAGAGATTTTTACTATTTGGCACATGCACTCTCCAGAGAGATAGAAAGATAGAAAGCAAACTGTCACACACACACACACACACACACCCCGCCCCAGGGGGATGACCACACTGCAGTCTTATCTCCTCCAGCCTCCTCTCTGGATTTTGGGCACACACACGCACACACGCGTGGCATGAGTATTAAGCCACTGGGTCCAGGACTCGAACCACGGTCAACTGTGTGGGAGTCCAGTGACGTAACCGTTATGCTATCTGCTGGTTCTGTGCCTGTGTGTTTTTAAGTCACCGAGGCTGATATTCAAACTGCGTCTGGTCATGTGAGATCTGGCGATCCCTGTGCAGTGCTTAACCACTTAACCACAAGGCTGTGTCTGGAACTTCTTGCTCAAAGGTGTAACCCACAATACGTACGTTTTCCTCAAATCCGACACGTTTTGCTAGTCATTATATGTACTATGCCCTTCCTTTGGTCCTTTCTTTTATTACAGAAGTATTAAACAACTGGTCACATGGTGTTGGGTCCAAGAAGTTGTGACAACTTCTTGTGTTTTGTTTTGAGAGTAAATCAAAGAATTATACAACATTCACTATGTGCCAAGAATTGCTCTAAATGTGTCCATGTCTTAAGTCATTTAAATCTTCACAGCTCCATGGAGGAGGAGCTACTGTTGTCCTCACCCTGACATACACAGGCTAAACAACTCCCCGGCCATCCCTCGCTCCTCAGTGCCAAGGCCGCACAGACTAAGCCCTTGTGAATACATGCCGGGAGTGGTGGGTGGAGCCACGTAGACTGCCCTGCTTAAGAACTGAGGAGGGAGTGCCAGCAGTGGCCCGGTGGCTAAGACTCTAGACTCCCACATGGCCGAGCCTGGCTCTAGTCCTGGAACTGGCAGCTTGCTTTCTCACTTTCCCTCTCTCTCTCTGATGAGCACATGTGCCCTGTAGCAAATTAAAAATAATAATAGTAATAATAATAATAAAATTAAATTAATAATTCTAAAAAGGATGAACTGAGGAGGAGAGAGAGTGGCGCCATAGCATGGAGAGGTTCCCATTCGCACATAGAGCAACCGCTCCCTTCCTTCCTTATAAATAAAAAACCAAATGCTTGGTGAGAGCAAAACGTTGAAGAAGCACTAATACAAAGTACCTGCCACTTCCTATTTTTGAGTATAACTTGTGTCCAAGGGTGTTTGCCTTCACAATGAAGATTCTCATGCATTGAGTTCTCTTAAATGTCAGGTTAAGTTCAGTCGCCCCACTGCGTATCAGGGGTGCAGTTTTATCCCTCGGACCCGCTGTCTTTGGCGCACTGTGCTCTTCCACACATCCAGGTGAAGAGGCACAGCCTGCGAGGACATTTGGACATTGGAAGTGACGTCCCGTAGGTCTCCTCTGTGCGTCTCACCACCTTCCATCTGAGTTGTCCCTCTGCCCTCCTGTTCCTTAGAGCTCAAGGACTTTTATTTGCTAGCTATGTGACCTCACTCTGCCTCAGTTTTTTAACTCGTAAAATGGAGTTTTTATTGTGTCTCACTTGTGGGGTTAATTATCATGAGATAATTGACACAAGCACTTGGAACAGCAGACTGCACGTAGACCGCCTCCAGTAAGTGTTAGCGGCTACTAACCCGTTCGTTTCTCTTTCTTTTTGAAGTTTCCTAGAGGATGTGGGGCTCACCAGAGGTAGCGAAGTGGGGAGTGAGAAAGTACCCCCAGGGAGGGTGGCCATGCCACAGTCCCTTTTCCTCCATTCTTTTGAAATTTTGGGTACATAGCACACTGGGTCCAGGATTTAAAGCACACAGCCAGCCAGCCACAAAGGTGGCGGGTTCTAGCCACCTTAACCACCACGCCACTAGCCGGCCTTACCCCACTTGTTTCTAAATAAGGGTAACCGTGGTTAAAGCAGTTTAATTCGGGTCAGCAGGTGGCATGGTGGTTAAGACACTGGACTCTCACATGGCGAACTGCAGTTTGAATCCCAGACCTGATAGCTTGCTTTTTCACTTTTTCTCTCATTCTCTCTCACTCTCTCTCTCTCTCTCTCTGGAGAGCACATATGCCCTATAGTAAATTAAATAATAATAATAAATAAAATTAAATAAATAACTTTTTAAAAAACAGTGTATTCTATAATTTCATCCATTTACAAACAAGTATCTGTCAGATTTGCATATAGCATTATTCATTCACATTGCCATATATGATTACCTTTGTACCTATAAGCAGCTTCGATAGGAAATTCTCCTCCAAGGTTTTTGATAATAAACCAAGGACTGTAAAGGTCTTTGAATTACTGAAAAGGGAGGCGGTGTGAAACTTAAGAGTGATAGCAGTTTGAATGCTGTTACAGCTGTTAGAAGTATACTTGCATTGGGGCCAGCAGGTGGTGTAGTGATTAATGTGCTGGAATCCCACATGGTTGACTGCAGTTTGGGTCTCAGACCTGGTGACTTGAAACCCATGCCAGGCTCGTGTGCGTGCGTGCGCAAAATCCTGAGAGGAGAATGGAGAAGAAGGGATTGTGGCGTGGCCATCCTCCCTTGGGGATCATTTATCACTTTTTGTTGCTCTGTCTCTTCAGCAAGCGCATGTGCCCTATAGCAAAAATCTCTTTAAAAAAAAAAAAAAAGAGAAAGGGAGGAAGACAGAAAGGAAGGTATTTTCATTAGCCCTTCGTGGAACCAGCCATCCATCCCTTCCTGTTGAACATGAAGTCTTTGCTAACACCACCGGTAAAGCTGCATTCAAGTAGAACTGGACTTGCACTGCAGAACCGTCACAGCATGTGTTTTTGGTAATAACGTTGGTCGATAGGGAACAAAGCTAAGGAGGCAGTCCTTGGTGACTGGCCTGCCCCAGCGCACCTTCCTGAAAGTGCGGTAAGAAAGGGGAAGGCGGGAGGCAGCCGTGTCTGCCTCCCTGGACGGGGTACGCTGGGCGAACAGTCACAGGCCGATGCTTTCCAGGGAGCGAGT